CGAAGAGTTTGTAGAAAATCTAGAACGTAAGAGGCCCTCATACGGTACCCAAGTATGGGACGACGACCCGTTTATTTTGGGTGGTCGAGGCGCACCAAAGCAAAGACGGGGAGCCCCTAGAGCTGATAGCATATACGGGCGCGACAAGGTCGATAGGGTCGCCGGGACCGAACGAGTCAAGAATATCAACATCAGCGGCTTTACACTTGACTACTATCAGCATCCTGCAAAGCACGCGGATCCAGAGCGTCAGTACCGCCATGCATACGATGTATACTCCCTCGGTATCCTTCTGCTCGAAGTCGGACTATGGGAAGAACTCATTTGCCCTACCGAGTTCCGCTCACGCTATAATACGGTTGTCGATTGTGGAGAGGAGGATCAATATGAGCGCCGACGCTGGATTTGTCGAGAGTGTCTAAACCGCCTTAGATGGGCGTGTGGTGATGTATATGCCGATGTGGTGCTCAGCTGTCTCATGGTTGATAGTATGGATGATGAAGTAGCAAAAGCGAGCGAGAGGGAATTATGTGCTCAACTTGTTGCTGACCTCCAGGGCTGTCAAGCATAAACTTTCTGTACTTACTACATTTTTTCGCTACCGGAAGGTCCTATAGAAGATCACTATTAACAGCGTTGTCTTCTCATGCCCTTCAAGGTTTATTGCTACACGTACCTACATCAAGTAAACTATGCTCCATATTCTGCTGCAGGACTGCGTTTCCTTACACTAGAAGGAGCTTGGTCTCATACATCCAGATGCCCAGTCTTCGGCCAGGGTGCTTAAGGAGTGGCGAACTACTACACGCATGGAAGATAACTATGGTGACTAGATCTACTAAACAGGCTCATAGAGTTTGAGTGCACTACGGGACGTGTAACGTGATGTGTATCTGTTCATAGTATCTGCTTTACCTTAATACTGTAAGTTAGTGTCAATTTTACTTACGATTGGCAGCTAGCTTCATGAAGAGGTCTTCTGCACACGTAATATTCGCAGTCAGTTGTTCGGTAGGGGGTTAGAAGACATCATGCTGTCTGACTCTTCGCAGCAAGGAGGGCCCTGCCCAGCTCTTCTATACGCGTTCCGTAGCCTCAGGCCCTAATTCCAGCCCCTGAGGTCCCTCATTCTTCAACACAGCACGTGCGCGCTGGCAAGCTTATGGCGAGCCTGTGCTGACAAGCTAGGCAGAAGTTTTCTTTTCGTCTGGGCCTCTGGGATATGTCATCTGAGGGCTGTTTCTTTCCCACCGGCTCCGTGTAGCTTGAATCGGCCTCAGCACGAGATGGGGATGCCATGGACCATTCAAACGCCGATCGCCAGGCCTCGCATATACTATCTCTCACCCAACGACGACACTGTGATGACCAATGCATGAGGTAGGCACCTCATGCCAGAGCGAACCTACGACGCAGCCGCAGTGTGAGCCCTTTACATTGTCGGACTTATGTACAGAGGCCAAAATTGCGCTTCCAGAGGAGTGGAGAGAAACGGTGTTATGACACTTGATGTGGGACCATGAAATGCACAGTAGAAGAAGGTCACTCCCCGCACGCCATTCGTTCAGCAACCGAGCACTTTGGAGGGCTCAGCGTGGGTCGCGCAATTCAGGGCGTGGGATCCCGGACGGCAACAGTCAGCCGCCTAGCCCAGCTCCAGGCTACCAAGCCCGAAATACCAGGGCGCATTTCCGCGTTGGGCCAGCGGCAGCGGGCGGCGGTAGGCTGCAGGCGGCAGGTTGGCAGGCTGCAGGCGTTTCGTTTGGGGTATTCCAGAGCAGAGAAGATAAGGAATTGTGTTGGGTGTTGGGGGACGGACGAAAGCAGCCGGCGCAGTTATCCGACAGTGGGACACCAAGAGAGCGAGACAAGCCAGCCAGAACAGTAACCGACCTGGCGACCAGGCCACTGATCGAGATGGACGACCATTGTCATGCGGCAGGCAGATGGATGACACGGACGAAGAGGCACTGGGAACACCCAGAAAGCAGGACAAGCAGGGCGAGGCACCGCGGTCAAGGCAGAAACAGCAATGGCATCATCCGCCCAGGTAACCTCCCAGGCCTCCCCAATGACGGGGCTGCATTCCAGCCCCGTGCACCTTTTCAGTACCACCCCCAGCAGCAGATCGCGCCAATGACAGGGCCTTCGGGGACGGCATGGTGAGGCAATGCGCGCTGGAGCAGCGCCCGGGGCCAGAGGGGACAAGGCAAGGACACCCCCAGGACTCCCAGGACCCCCAGGACCCCCTACACCAGGCGCTAGGGCCCAACAAAGGCCAGGCACGACGGGCTGTCAGTGGCCGTCATGAGTCACCTGGCTCTGCTCTCTTTGGGGGCACCCCTTGGCTCGCTTGGGGACACCCCTCGGGTCTGTTGAGTCACCTGCGCATCGCCGTCTGAGCCTCAGCCTCTTCCCTTTGTCCACTGCCTACCTACACCATCTGCATCCACCATCACCACCATCACCATCATCACCTTGGCCATCGCCATCCATCCTCCTACACACGCTAAAGACACCCCACCGGCAACATGACCTCCCTTATCCTCCAATGAGGCATCGCGTCAATGTCACCACCATGGCGTCGTTGTCGTTGCGCCTCGCCGGCCGGTGACTCTTCGCTGCCCGCCTCTTCCTGGGCTGGTTTCGACCCTCGCTCTCGCCTGGCCATGCTGACCATGGCCGTGGCTCGCTCAACCTGAATACGGCGCAACAAAGCCTTATCGCATCCGTAACAGCCCGGCTGTCTTGCTTGTTCGTCAGATGACATATAAGCCCGTCCTCGAACCTTCGCACCCCTTCCCCCCAGCTCCCTGCCTTTCCATCTGTTACCTAGCACAACAACCACCACCGCGCCCTTCCGCGCCCTTGCGCATCTGTCAACTTCTCATCAGAACACATCTCGACACAGCATCGACTTTCTACATCCTGGCGGAAGACAACTGCCTAAGAAGATTGCCTGGGACGACTGCCTAAGACAACTGCAGCACAGCTGCAACACAACGCACCTACTTAACCCACCCAACCCACACGACACAATGGGCCTTGCTCTTCACAACTCGCCTGTCGACCTGGCCTTCGCGGCCAAGCACTTCCCTATCACCTGCCCCCGTCCCACCGCCATCCGCAAGCCCCGATCCGCTCACCCCAAGGCTGTCGCCCGCGCCCTCCTCGAGCGTGGCTTCGCCCCCGAAGACCTCCCTGTTCTCTCCCGCGAAGCCCACGTCCACGTCCCTCGCCGTAACGACCACCGCGCCCGCCGTCACCACGGCGCCGCCCCCGACTCGGACCACGACGGCATCCGCCTTGCCCGCAGTACCGTTCCCCTACCGAGCGACGGCTCACGCGACCGCGTCCCCTCGCTCGAGCGCCAGAACGCCTTCTGGGACCCCCGCACCACGAAGCGCTCCTCTGTGGCCGTTGCCGCTGCCGCTGCCGCGAGGCTCGTCGGCGACGATGACGATGCTGACGTCGCCGAGCTCTACAGGCTCGGTCTCCTCTACGATGACGACCACACGCGGGGTGCCGGCTTTGGCCTAGACGCCATTGTCCGCGACGAGCCCGTCTACTCCATCACAACGCGCGCTGCCTCGCACCGCCGGGCCACCAAGCGCAACCATCGTGGTGCCGCGGCCACGCGCAGCAGGGCGTCCACGACCGAGAGCCTGGCGCTGCAGATGGACTGGGACTTCACGGGGCTCGAGGACGACGACGATGTGGCGCGCTATCTGCTCTCCGAGTCCCGCGAGGTGGCCGCCGCCGCCGAGGGTCGTCACAGGCGGGGCTACCGCACCGTCTGGCGGTCCCTGCCGGCCATCGATGAGCCGGCTGCCGGACATACGCCTGAGCTGATCCCCGACGAGGCCGAGGAGGAGGAGAGCGACGAGAGGCCTGAGCGTGACGTGGACAATGAGCTTGACGACGAGACGGAGTGGGCTGTCCTGCCGCGCGAGCGAGACGCAGACGATGTGGCGACGACGACCGTGATAGAGGACGCTGCCACCGGAGTTTGGATCGTGTTGGGAGATGGCTCGTAACAGGTCCGCCGTGGAGGATGCTTCTGTCCCTTTCTCTTTGCTTGACTGGAGAGGCCTGTACATTGTCTCCGCCTCTTCGTCTCGCGGGAGGGGGGAAATGATGCCTCTGACGCTTTTCGAGGCGGGCAAAGCGCCCGCTGCGGACTGGCCCTCTTATCCTGGCCATCTGGCGATGATGGAACGGTTGAGGGACTCTGTACGAGAACGTAGCTTTTCTTTCACTTGTCCTTTTTTGAAATCATGGCAGCCGGCGACTCTGTACGCTCGATATGAATAGCATTTTACTCTTTGTACCATTGTTTGTTGTCACGACATCGAGAGAGCTCTGGGTCAGACTTTCCATACTGAGGGTAATTTGGAGTATTGCAGTATGTGACAATATTTATGTGAGACATTATATCAATTCACCGGACATAGTGAAGATGGCTCAAGGTCAACAGAGTCTTGCCCAGTGTTGGAGGGTCGGGATGCCTGGCACGAGGGCGGGTGGTTGCCTCGTCGGTCACCAGGCCCTATGTCTGAGACTGAGACGTCCGCGAATTCCCGAGACCAGATGGGGAGGGTTCTTATCGCGATTTCCCACGAGGACGGCATGCGTAGCACGTGATTCTTGATCAGCCTAGACGTATATTGATGACCTCATGTCTGCTGTTTTCTATATCGAGCCAGACGGTTGCCAAAGGCTGCTGCTTGCAGGCATAAGCCAACGATTTGACTGCGTCTTTAGACCAGTCCCTTTGCTCTGAATACTTGATCTGCCATGGGACTACGTCAAGTCCCCAAGTAGAGGACATTTGCCTCCCTCGTCTTTTCCATTATTTCCCCCGCCTAGAATGCACTACTCACCTGTATATAAATGCTATTCTTACTGCTTGAGAACCTTTCGTTCATCTAATCTTTCGAAGCTCGGCGAGATCAGAGAGCTTAGATCAAGTACAAATTTCGGGGACAAACGTCCATCAGTAGCGTCAAAAATCACAGCAAGAAAATGAGGTAGCATGAAAAGATCACCGGCATGAGCGAAGCCCTGTTGCAAGCAATGTGTGTTTCAAGTGACCTCTGGAATGATGGCCCCATCACTTTGCACCCTCAGTTTCATCAGTAGCATCCGCCGACACCTTGAAGCAAAGCTTCTCCCCCGATATCTTGCCACTGCGGTTGAGATTCATGGCCTCAGCAACGGTCTCTGGACCCAGCTCCCCCGCAACCTTCACCGCAGGAGGCACGAGCTTCCCCTCCACCAGGAGCGTCGGCAGTTGATCGTACAGCTCAACGCTCAATTCGTGGTCCGGCAAGTTGATCTGCGTCACATGAAGCGTCAGCAACGAGAGCACAACGTGGGTGCGAGAACAACGTCTCTGATACGTACGGGCCAGTGTGCCGCCCCCCGGTACGAATGCGGCGTCGGAAAGGCTGTGAACACGAAGACATCCGTGACCTTGACGTTCTGCGGCACGTTCCCCGTGTTGGCCTTGCCCGGCCGGACGGTGCACAAGACTCCAGGCCGCCCGTCGATCGCCTCGCATGCCGTAGCCGAGGACGTCGCCGAACCGATGGTGTCGAAAACGTGAGCCAAGTCCGGTGCAGCGGAGCGAATCTTGGCCGTGACTTCTGGATCGTTATAGTCGAAAACGTGAGTCGCTCCCGCTCGTCTCGCCAACTCAAAGTTGCGGGGGCTGCATGTCGTGATGACGGCGTGGCCGTGCAGCCTCGCCATCTGGATGGCGAAGTAGCCGACAGTGGCTTGCCGCAATGGTTAGCAGGCCGGCTCTTTTGTATTTTCCAAGAGAGTATCTTACAGCTTCCTCCCCAGATCAGGATAGGTGGCCTTATAGCAGTAGTCCCTCTGCCCAGCGCGAGGCTGTCCTGAGAAAACAGCGCAAGCCAGGCAGTGTTCGCAGCGAGAGGGACGGAGCATGCGCTCGAGTGGCTGAAAGTGCCGGGGACTCTGAAGGAGATGCGTTCGTCGGCGTGGCAGTGTGTCCTAGTAAGTCAACGACCAATTCGGGCAGCGAGTAGAGATGCTGCGTACGAATATGCCCCGAGCCCTTTGATCTCGCCTAGCGGACCATCATTGTCAGATATCGTTTGCCTGATACTCGAAGAACGGGTTGACCACTTACCACCCCATACAAGGGCAGCAATCCGGTCGCCGATAGCCAGTCTGGTGACGGACGGGTGTGTTTCTACAACGACACCTACAAAGTCACAGCCCAGCACAGCGCCGTCCCCAAATGCGTTGAGATCGAATGCGAGCCCTTCAGAGTGTCAGACGTGGGCTCAATATGTAATGTGCTGGATCCTGATACTCACGATCTGTTGGATTGAAAGCTGCCCACTCAACCTGGACGACCACATGATGGTCTCTGAGGGGAGGGAGTTTGATCTGTTCTGTCGCAAATTGAGTGCCCCTCTGGACCACACCAGAAACCATAATGGCGTTCGTACTGCGCAAGGAGTTCTGGAGTTCGCAATGTGGTGGTGCCCTCTTTCAATATCGACGCTTGCTTCACTACACAGGCCATGTCTTTGGGGGTATTTGTGCCTTTAAAGGCAATGAATCAGCTACAAGCTACCTAAGAAGGTAGGTCAGGTCATGTATACTGAGGGGCTGGCTACCCAACCGATCCTCGGTACTCCACAAGCCTGACATCACTCCAGCGCCTTTCGGTACACACATTTGAACTACATATGCACACTCTCATCAGCAGTGTGCTTGTAAATGCGAAAAGAAAGCACCAGAGCACGAACCGGGTAGATTTGAACGTTCTTCAGGTCCCAGACGCCTGTGTGAGCATAGATATCCTCTTTCAGCACAGCCAGAACTTCCTCAGCCGTTGCAGCACGAGCTACAACGATGCTGCCACTAATGTCGAGCTCTTGCTCCTGAGGCTGGGCGCGCAGCATTGCCCCGCCCATTTGGAAAAAGCCGGAGTCGACATGCTTCTTGACATTGTCAATATGAGCACTGTAGATTGTTAATTAGGACATCGCAAGGCGGGGTAAAGAAGGCAAGCCGTCGTCCTAGACATACGCTCTGACCCTCATCCTTTCCTCCAATTTTCCCTCAGCGTCGGGAACAATGATGAGCCATTCGTTTTGCACTTTGTTTGCCATGGTTCTCTTTTCTTGATGAATCTGTCACAAAGAGACGGCTTTCCAGCTACTTCGCAGTGTTCGGCTGCTCCATCGGAACACAATGCTCCTTTCACTGGTCACAGGGGTGCTTAAGATGGAGCGCTTCAAGCCCGTTGCACTACGCCCTTTGAGTCGCGCCTTTCTTACGCCCTGCGACAGCGCCTTTGCAATCGCGTGTTCACGCCTTGCCAACCATTTTGACATCGCCTCTGGTCCCATCAGCAACTTTTGGACACTCTCTTTCGGCTTACAATCATGATTTCTCTGTGCTTCATTGGCGCTGCTATGATTTCCTCCTCGCTTAACAGACAGCACCACCAAGAGGAGCTCAACAGTTAGGCGTAGCTGGTGTTCCAATGTATGGTCAAGATGAGAGGATAATGAAATGTATCGGTGCAAAGTGTCAGAGGCAGTAATCAGCCTCTGTTCTAAACTCCGCGCTACATGTCCGACAGAACGTCTTCTACGAATACAGTCCTGGCACGTGATGCTGAGATCAGAGGACCGCCTTGAAGCTGG